TCGCGCAGTAAGGCCGGATCGGTTCGCTGACAGCCGGCACCGCCCTTTATTATTATATTGTCTAAACGGCATCATGTAAGTTGCGCTGACAGGCGACACAGAGGTCCCCCAGCCCCCCCCCGTTGACAGTTCACGAGCGCGTCCATAGTGTCTCCCGTCCACCCACCACCCCGTCCACCCAGTAAAAACATCCCCACTACACCACTGGTTGTAGTAGTACACCAACATGGAATAAACGTGTGGTTTTTTTTACCACAATGTTGGGGAAATTAATGGATAAAATGCACGGATCATTATTATCATTATTATTATTATTATTATTATTATTATTCCCACTCCGATCGGGACACTAGGTCCACCGTTTCCCCGCAGCGAGGCTCCCCCCGTTGACAGTTTACGTGGGCTGGGCTGGGTGCAGTGGCGGACTGGCCATCGGGACGAATCCCGATGGGCCGGTACCGAAGTGGGCCGGTCGGATAAGTCACTAGCACATCCCCCCACTCCCCCCGTTGACAATTTACTAGTGGTACCGAAGTGGGCTGGTCGAGAGTCCCGGGCTGATTTTTAGTCCCAGTCCACCACTGGCTACATGACCGTATGATCGCCCATATTGACGCACCTAATTCCTAAATTTCTAACAGATACAAAATAAACCGATCCTTCAGCCTCATATGAGCTCTCAGACACGTTCAAAATTAAACTGTCATCGCTGTCTGAGCTTGCTGCTCTGTGCGCCATCGTGCGTTTACATGCAGATGCTGGGATCCTGAACGGTGCAGCTGGAGCGCTGTGCCCGCATTGACGTCACCCATAATTTGGCGGGACTTGAAGAATCCCCGAGAAGATCCAGGAAATGGTCAACATTGAAGGGCAGATTAATGGTTATCAAAGTACAAATATCCAAAATCAGTTCAGTAACGGTTTTCAAGGGGACAATATTTACTCAAATTGATGGGTTTGGATGATGGGGGAAAATCGTGTCACAGGCTCTTTAAGTACTTAACTACAATTTTGCGATACTTGCACTTTATGAGGATTCTCACTTAATGCTATACTTTATACTTCATAATCAAAATTGTACTTTTTACTCAAATACATTTATCTGAGAACTTTAGTTACTTTACAAATTCAGATTTTTAGCTAACACAATAAATCGAACGATGAATAAACATTTGCATATAATCAAAGGTTACCACATCCATCAGCAATTGTTTAAGTAATTAAAAATAACTCTGTGATGAAAAAAAACAGCTGTGATGAACACATCAATAATCATAATCCAGTCATTGAATATGATTCTAGAATTAGCCAATAAATGAGTACTTTCACTTTTGGTACCTATATTGTTATTCCAATGTAGGATATTAAATGGAGGACTTTTACTTGTAACTGAGTATTTTTACAATTTAGTATCGCTACTTTTACTTAAGTATGAAGAAATGTGTACATCTTCCACCACTTGCTTTAGAAAATAGTTCAAAAGAAATGCAAAAACTGCTGAACATTTACATTTGCGGGTGATAGTTTGGCAGTAAACTCAGTTCAACCTTTGTGTTTATAAGCTTTGCAGCATGTTGCCTTTCGGGTCTTTGTTTATGAGCTAGGACACAGTGTGACCTTGTGCAGCTTTGAGCTGTCTCAGCAGAGCGTCTGACCGGGCGGCTGACACAGCGAGACGGCTGCCTGTTTGGGGACAGAGGGTGTATGTAGGTCAGCCATGGGCCGCACGCTGTGACAGCAGCACGTTCACTGTGCTGGGCAGCAGGACAGGGATCGGAGTGGACAGAGAGAGCCGTGGAGAGAGGGGCCCCCTCACACGTCAGCACCGATACTTCCTCATTTGGCCCCTTAAACACTTTGACATTATCAGGCCACACAGAGCTACGTCCACCCTCATTACTCTCACCTTTGGTACTACTGCAAAATGGGCAAAGAGCAGCTAGAGAAGAAGACATACCGAGCAGACATCAGATCATGGTGAGTGTCTGAAAGGTTGGGATGGTCATTTGATGGGTGGGAGTCGTGTCCATGTCAACACATAACACTGGTGATGTTCAATTACCACAATGTTACAGGTCTGATAATACAGAGCTGTGTCAACACTGCCTGATTGTAAGAAGAAGAAGCAGGCAACTCAATTAACTTGTTCAGATTTTTAAATGGCAAGAATTAATAAAAAAATGTGCAGAAATATTACTCTCCTGAAGTGCACATACAAACAGAATAAATAATGAAGTATCTATGTGTATTCATCCTACAGCCAATTAGTTCTTATAACACATATTTGATTGAAAAGAGAACATTTCCAACACAAGCTATTATAGTCCATACATGATGACACGCTGCCCTCTAGTGGCTCAAACGCTGTGGCACAGATAATGTATCAACAATGAACAGTGCACCATAAAAAGGTCACTAATATTATCATTTTATTTTTGGAAAACGTTTAAAGAAACAGCTTTAGTGAGAACAACAAATTACTTTTGCAGGAAAATATACAAGGATACAGCTTTAGTGAGAACAACAAATTACTTTTGCAGGAAAATATACAAGGATACAGGTTTAGTTTTACAAATGTCATTGCCGTAGGTGTGTTTCTGAAATGTAACACGTCTGGTGAACATATAATAAACGAGGAGATCATCGGTTGTAGGGATGCATCGACCCGGATGCAGATTTGATGTTTGTCTTGATGCTGCTTGGTATTTTTCCTGAGAAAGAAAAGAAAGGGAGAGAATAAATAATATGCAACAACTTCAAATTCGACTCATTTGGAACATATCCACTTTTTTTGCAATTAAGAAAAGAGTACCCTTGAAATATTCGGTTATTTTGATATGAATGTGTACAGCATCACCACTTTATACAGACCGTTACATAAACATTAACCCTGACTAAATCAAATATTTGGGGGCCTAACATCATTATTAGTGTGCTGAACAGTGAGACAGGAGAATACTAACCCAGCTCTCCAGGCCTCCTACCTGGCTGCCCCTGCTGCTGAGGGCCCACGGGGCCTCCCATACCTGCCTGCTGGCCAGAACCGCCCCCGATGGTGACCTGCTGTAAGGTGGGACCTCCACTCATCATGGGCCCTTGTCCTGGGTGTCCAGGGGCCACTGGGCCTGGGGGCCTACATTTAGAGAGCCCCTTCCCAAACGCCACCGCTCCAACCAGTGCGTTGGTGTCCGCGGGGTTAAAGGACGGCTTGCTCTGACGGATTGCTGGGAAAAGAACATATTGAGTGTCAACAAGTTTAAGTGTATAAATACATTTGAGATGATGAGCCGGACATTGAGAGTGAAACACACCAGCACTCTCTGAATCTCTGTCGTCACGGGGATTGTTGAGCTTCTCGAGCAGATTGGAACACAGTTTGTTCAACGTCTGGATCTGTTTCTGTTGAGAAGAATATCATCAGGGTGGGGGGGGGTTTACAAGTGGAAAAAACTCTCGGCAGTAAGCAGTGTTTGGCAACTGAATTCATACTTGTAAGAGCCAACTCAAGACCCACTTTTTTGTCTTTTAATTTAATTGTATTCATTCTTATGTTATTCTTATGTTATACTGTCCTGTGTTGGTATTACATGTTATTATTTATGGGACTTGGCTTTGGAACTGGAGGCTGGCCGTTTCAAGTCCCCTAACAGACCAAATAAGGGACTGGTAATTGGAAAGGTCCCAGTTCACATCCTGGGCACTGGCGCAGTGCCATTGAGCAAGGCAACCCCCCCCCCCCCCCCCTTGCTCCCTGGGCGCTGTAAAATTGCAGCTCACTGCTCCTAGTACTAGGATGGATTCAATGGAGAGGTCAAATGTGTGTGTGTGCGGTGTACATCTACATGTATGCGAAAAATACAAATGTTTTAATTCTTCTGTTTCTAAGGAACATATATGTTAAATAGTTTGTTACCTGGGAAAGGGGGGTAGGTATTGTTATCATTTTTGTTTATGTCTTAGGGTTGTGAAGCACTTTGTGTTACCTTTGTGTATGAAAAGTGCTATTTAAATAAAGTTTGAAATTATTTGAAAGTTCAACATGTTGGTTGAGTTTCACCATTCTAGATTCTAACTTTTAAAAGGTTTTCTACGTAATTAATTAAAGATATTCGACAACATACATTAACCTATTTGAAACTTCCTTTCATGGAACATTTAAAATAAATAATGTTCATAATGAAACATTGACTATTCCATAACTACATTGTCCCCAAAGAGTCACCATGTTACTGAACCATCTTGTTGTTATTGAGGTTGTTTCTCCATAACCTATTTTGGACTTGCCGCAGTTGTAAATGCAGTTGACTTCACGCACACTCATCAGCCGATCAGCTGAAAGCAGCCACTTTCAACCAGTCAATTGGTGTTTTCTTATATTTAAGTCCAGCAAACTGCTTGGTATTTCTGAATATGAGTAGGGCAGCATCCATGTGAGCACCATCTGACCTGTGCCACCTCCGGGCCAATCCGTGCTGCCTCCACACTTAGCTGTTTCTCCTGCTCCTCCACCTCTGGATCAGGCTTAGTCCGCAGATAGTCTGGAACAATCTCATGGCTGAACACCGGGACACGCTGCTCTGTGAGTTTCTGTGGGGAGAACAAGCAGAGTCAGAAGCAGACAGGTCAGAGAGATGTCTTCAAAATCACATCAGAGGAGCAGAATGCAGACAGCGGCTTTGAAACTCACCGCTAAATCCTCATCCCGGTCTGGAGACAGGAGCAGAGGGATTATGACTTGGTTGCGAAAGGACGGCGTCTTCTCGTTCTTGAGCAGTTTGTTGATGGTGTTCAGCTGACCAGAGAGCAGAGCGAAGTTGTCCAGCACAGACGGCCTGAATGACACAAACACACATTATCACCTCATGTCCTCTGCATGTTTTTAAAGCTAGGCTAAATGAAATGCTCGTTGATACTATGGGCACTTGTAAATGTATATAACTATGTAAATATATCATGTAAATATAATGTATGATGTCCTTTATTGTTTTATGTTTCATGTGGA